CAGGGTCTCACTAAGTTGTCTAGGATATACTTGAACTTGAGATCCTCCTGCCTTAGCCTCCTGAGTTGCTGACATTATAAGTACCCAGCCAGGGCAATCTTTTTTTTTTTTCGTTTCTTTTTTTAATTCTGCAGGTAAGAAGTCACAGTAGCTTGTTCTGGGGTAGTCGTGAAAAGTTACAGAAAAAGATGGGTTCAAGAAACACAATGAGGCTGGGGTTATACCTCAGTGGTAGAGCACTTGTCTTACACATGTGAGGCACTGGGTTCAATCCTCAGCACTACTTGTAAATAAATAAATGAATGAATGAAATAAAGGTACTGTGCCCATGTTAAAGAAAAACAAAGAAACACAATGAGGTGGGTGCTGCATATTCCATGAAATGGAGGCTGAGGCAGGAGAAGGATCCCAAGTTCAAATCTATTCCCAGCAACTTAGAGAAACTGTCTCAAAATAAAGGGCTGGGGATGTAGCTCAGAGGCTAAGTGCCCCTGGGTTCAATCCATTATACCAAAAAAAGAAAAAAAAAAAAAAAAGAAAGAGACAAACAAAAAGAAAAACGACCACAGTTGACAAATGAAGTAAAGTAGATATTTTTACCATAAAATAAAGGAGCTTAAAAAAAAAAAAAGACTGAATTTGACACTCTGCATATGGCCTGAATTCTCATGGATTTTAAGTCCAGGAACCTCCCTGCCTCTCAGTATTCCCCAAATTGTCCCCCTTACTCTTTGGGAGGGCTCACCCCACCATGACTAATGCTTTATCCAAGAGAGGATCCCTGACCTGAGGGTCTTAACTTTTCTCAGCTCCAGCTTACCCCACGCCCCGGATCTGTAGCTGTGGTTGCATCCCAGCTTCCTTGGTCTTCACAGTCTGGTAGGTCACGATGGTACACACGGTGCTGCCTGACCCCATGTCATAGAACATGATATTCTATGAAGACATCAAGGTAACTGTCATAAGAACTTTATCAAATACCAGGTGGCATGCCTACCTATCTGCCTGCATCCAAGAAGCTGCCCAACTCTCAAAAACAAAAACAAACAAACAAAAAAAAACTGAATAGTTTCAATGGGGGCTGAGAGGAGGCTGCTGTATGGGCCAACCATGCAAACAAGATGCAAAATGGGCCAAATGACTTGCAACCTCAGACTCAGCTATCTTGCATGTCTGGTCAAGAGGCCTCTCTGGCTCACCTGTGCAGTGGCATTGATATCCTTCCGACGGAAGACACCGTAGCTGAGGGCAGTGGCAGTGTTGTCATTGATGAGCTGCAGTACTTTAAGGCCAGCCATTCGGGCAGCTTGCAGCACAGCTCTACGTTCAGCCTGGTTGAAGAAGGCTGGCACAGTGATGACAGCATCCTTGATGGGCTGCTCTACAGAGGACAACAGAACAGAGTCCCACCTGTTCCATACCTTAGAYAAAGTGTGACATTTTGGGCCAGATAATTCTCTGATGTTGGGGGCTATCCTGCACATTGCAGGATGTTTAACAGTATCACTGGCTTCTACCCACTAGAGGACACTGTTCCATATCCCTAGTTTTGACAACCAAATATGTGTTCAGACACTGCCCGATGTACCCTGGGAGGCAAAAATGGCCCCATTTGAGAATCAAGGTTTTAGATTCCAGGGAGCCTGGCTCCCCCTGTCTCCACCTTGATACTCACCTGCGAAATCTTCAGCCAGGGACCGGGAGTAATTGAGAACCATGCCTAAAACCTCCTCAGGTGAGAACTGAAGCTGCCTGAGAGAAGGAGGGGTAGTTGGAGCAAGGAGAATCAAATAATAAGGCAGGACAATCATGAATGCTTGCCCTTAAGGACCCCAGTAGGGCTGCTGAGCCCGCTTTTTGCAATAGAACACTCACGGGCTGATCTGGAAGTATACAGTCTGCCTCTGTGGGTCAAAGCTTAGCTCATGCTCTGGAAAACGGGCCCGATACAGGGCCACATGGGGGTTATCTGCCTGTTTCCCTAGAAGGTGCTGGAAATAACGTAACGTAGCCTTTGGGTTCTTGATGGCCTGAAAGGAGGTAAAGAAGAAGCAGAGTGTTAGGTGCTCAGGCCAAGATTGGTTGCCTTACATCACAGAGATCAATAAAGGAACAACTGAATCCACCACTCTTTGAAGGGGGCTGCTGACTCACCATGCCTGCTGCAGTGTCTCCAAAGAATCTTTCATTTTCTTTTAGGGTCACGGTTACTGGGGTTTTCCTCCGAGATTCCCTGAGGAAAAGAGACATCAGGCCCAGGTACCTGATGTAGGGTAGGAACCCCAGGAGTCTCACTACTCCACACTCATTCATTAATTCAAGACACTAAAGTCTGTTGTGAGCACTATGAGGAACACACACCCACTTGGAGCCCAGAATCTTTCATTGCCCATCCTTGACAGTGGGGTTATCCTCACTTGTTCAAGACAATCTCCATGGGCACTCCAGGTTTGACAATGGCCACCTTCATGGATTCGCTGCCCAGGTCCACAGACATCACTGCCAGCGTGTCTGATGGGAAAACAGTTTGTCAATTAGCCCCATTACTCCCACCTTCCTTTGGGCCCTCTAATAAAAGCATTCCATGTTCCATGGAAAAAGATAGCAAAAAAAAAAAAAAAAAAA